CCCCCTCACTGGAAAAGCACCAGCTTAAAGATGGATTCCAGTTCAGGTGACATGATCACATGTCACTGCAAGACTTCATTACTCACTTGCCAGAACACACACATACAGGAAGACTTACAGGTAAATACAGCCATCTGCAGACAATGGGAGTCAAGATTCTAAACCATCCTTAATGGCCCACACTTTACATAATTACAATAGACCCTCAGAGTTATGTTTTATATTTCTAGTTTTAGATACAAGAGTGGTACATTTCTACAAATAGGATGATCACACTCAGTAGATTATGAGCTTTGTAATGATACCTTACAAGAGACCTTTTGCATGAAGCATATCTCAGTTACATTATATTCACTTATATTTTTATAAAACCATATAGACTGCACAACGTCACAATGTATTATAGCTGTGAAATTTGCAAGTGTACAGAAGGCCAAAGGCTAAAAAAGGGTGACACAGCAGCCCTTGTCACAAAATAGCATTGTGAGTTATTTGTGGTCTCTATCTACTCCAGCCCATATTTGCTTAGTTTAGAAAGGAAAAAAATTCCATTTTTTTCCAACTGCCTGCCCTGCACACTTGTCTAGAATCTGAATGTCAAGCTGGATCCTTTACTTTGCAGGTATTACATCAGTAATACAGATTCTGCAGACCAAATTCTGCATCTTATCTATTCTGTGCAACCAGTCTTTGGTACACTTCCATAGGTGTAACTTAGGGGCAGAAGTTGGCATGTGGAAGACGCCTGAAAGCCCTTACAGTTCTGGATCCAAAAACATCTTACAAAGTAGATATGAATAAAGAGAAAATGGGGGGTGGGGTGGTGGTAATTAGGTATGGGGCAGAATTAAGATTTGAATGACTTAACTGTATTTCCATAGCTTCAAATGCTTTGGTTTCTTTTAAAGTTAAGATTAGTCTGAATGTCCTTGATTCTAATGACTAGCTTTTAACCACAGTGTTTTAACAGTACTTAATCCTTAAATCACTGACATGTTGTCTGCCTTAACTCCAGTTTAACTAAATTTTTGGTCTGGTAAATTCTTAAGCTGGAGAGCCTTCATATTTTGCATGCTTTTTGAAAAATACTATGGAACCTTTAATTTAAGGACAAGCAAAGGGAGCTGGGTATAACCTTTTGAAAGCAATGTACCATATTGCAGCAAAAAAGAATCAGCATTGGGTGTGAGTCAAGTCCGTATGTCAAATTTGAACTTGAAGCCTCCTAGCCCACAATTACAGGTACCACCACATGAGGAATTTATCAGGCCCTGATTACCGTAATTTAATGTGAGCATACAGTTGTGTGGCAAATCCATGCATGCAGATGCATCCAGCCATTTCTGTGTGCAGATACCTAATTTGCATGTACAAGTGTGTGCGTAAACTGAAAACCACTCAAAAGAACAAAATCTTTTAAAAAATATTACCCTGTCCTAAAGCTTTGGTTGGGTCGTCATTTTACCCATTTTTTATTTCTAAATCCATGCAAAAGAGGTTTTTCTGATTTACTTGCAGGAGTCTGACTTCCTAATTCTGATTCTACCCAAAAAGCAATATGACCTAGTATGCTAAGTTGGAAGTAGCAGACTATGGCAGGTTGTAATTTTCTCTTTTGAAAATTGAATGAACTGAGCAAAATTTTCAGAAGTTGGATTAGTCAATCTGAATAAACACACAAGACAGTGACATGAACCCCATTTATCCAAACATCTGGATCTAACCCACAGATGTTAATTATCATTTTAAAGGCTTTACCAGGCATTATTACTTGGGTGCTCAACCAGTAGTTCAGGATCACATACAAAGATCAGACAAATTGGGTGTGGCATTAAACTATGTTAAGATGTATTGTGCATGCTATCTATAATACATATTGAATGTATGATCCAAGTAAATGCAGCATAAAGAAATGCAGAGTAGAGACGTACATATTTTAAAGTTATTTCACCTGCAAAAGTGACTTAGTATCTGCCTATTTAATTGTTTTGAGATCATACTTTGGGAAGCTGGCATCTGCTTATAATTATCTTGCATTAGTACATTGATTTTTGATTCCCTACATTGATAAATAATCTGTGGCCCTTCAGAGTACGAATAGCTGGACATTTAGGAACTGCTGACTATTCTAAATCCGTTCTTTTTTGCTTTAAGCAATGATACCCATATGATCTTGGGGTAATTGTTGTGTGGAACATTTGATAAATGAATTCTGTTCAGCTGCAGAACTGACAGCAGTGACTGATATAGCTAAGGTGCGCTAGTGGTTTAATTCTAGCTTGGTTGGAATATAGAAGTAGCATTTATTCACTGTTTTAAAATACTACTTTATGTACGTGATAGTTTTTCTTATTGAACTGAAAGTGTCTCCTTTTTTTGCACTATACATTTTCAATACCTTGCTTGGTATTTTGGAGGCAAAAGTGTAATACCTCAAGTTCTTTCCTCACACCAATAAAACATTGTTAATGTAATTCATTCATTTAGTAGAGAATGGTTCTTTTTAAGTTAAAAGTTTTAGTTGGCAAATACAAATAGTACAATCTAAATATCTAAAATAGTGGGGAAGGAAATTTATTATAGGTGGCACAGGTAGCAACACCTATAGTTAAGGTAGCCCAACATTTTCCCTTAAAAGATGCTGGTTTTTGTTAATTATAATTTTGCCAAAATTAAACAGTTTGAGCTGAAATATTCTATTATGCATATCTGCCTCAGACTAGTTTTTAATCTAAAATGGTTCAGCCATTTGAGAATAAGATTAAGGAAAAAGTATATATTTGCTTATTTAAAAAACAAAAGCCTTATATCCATCTAAGTGCTTTGGAGCATAGGATTGCCTTGGTCAGGGATGTACTTTTTGCTGTCTCAGTGGAGAAAAAAAAAACCTCAAAATTTGTCCAGGTTATGACTGAGACTCTGAAAAATCACACATCACTGAACAAAACCACTGACCCAGGAACCTATCCTTGTAACAAAGCCCGATGCCAACTCTGTCCACATATCTATTCAAGTGACATCATCATAGGACCTAATCACATCAGCCATACCATCAGGGGCTCGTTCACCTGCACATCTACCAATGTGATATATGCCATCACGTGCCAGCAATGCCCCTCTGCCATGTACATTGGCCAAACCGCTCAGTCTCTATGCAAAAGAATTAATGGACACAAATCTGACATCAGGAATCATAATACTCAAAAACCAGTGGGAGAACACTTTAACCTGTCTGGTCATTCAATGACAGACCTGCGGGTGGCTATATTACAACAGAAAAACTTCAAAAACAGACTCCAACGAGAGACTGCTGAGCTAGAATTGATATGCAAACTAGACACAATCAACTCAGGATTAAATAAGGACTGGGAATGGCTGAGCCATTACAAACATTGAATCTATCTCCCCTTGTAAGTATTCTCACACTTCTTATCAAACTGTCTGTACTGGGCTATCTTGATTATCACTTCAAAAGTTTTTTTTCTCTTACTTAATTGGCCTCTCAGAGTTGGTAAGACAACTTCCACCTGTTTATGCTCTCTGTATGTGTGTATATATATCTCCTCAATATATGTTCCATTCTATATGCATCCGAAGAAGTGGGCTGTAGTCCACGAAAGCTTATGCTCTAATAAATTTGTTAGTCTCTAAGGTGCCACAAGTACTCCTGTTCTTTTTGCGGATACAGACTAACACGGCTGCTACTCTGAAACCTGAAAAATCTCAGTTCATATGTGCAGTGTGGAGACTTGTTAATTTGGTAGCTAATTTTTTTTATGATTCCATCTGTACTGAGCATGCTTCAATACCACACAGCTCCTACATCCCATAAAAATGACACATATACCTACCTCGCAGGCCTTGGGGTCTGAGTAGGAGTTTTCCTGCAGTTGGTCCTCCCAGCTAACAAGGGCAGCTGTGGTACCAGAACTGAGCTCAGGGAGACTTTCTCCTTTGCTCTCAGTGCTTTCCCTGGCTCTTCCCCAGGCAGCACAGCAGGGCATCTAAAAAGCAATGACTTTAAAAAAAAAAAAAAAAAAGAAGAAATTAGATTTTTATTTTGTTTAAATTATACGCTTTTCTGTTTAAACCTGTTTAAAATGAAATCGGAGTTTAATATAAAATGTTAAGGCCTAAACACACAATTTCTTAAAACATTTAAATAAAAAAATGAATGTGGAATCTGTAAGTCTCTATCAAAAACTTTGTGTTAAAAGCTGCTTTTCTTTATAAAGAAATAATTAGGGAGGAAAAATCCAACATTTGAGGTCAAGCGTTATAAATATGGCACAATATGGGGATAGGAAAAGGCAGGAGCTGGAAGGGGAGGATTGTACAGGAACAGCATTGTGGTTATTTTTGTAACTAAAGTGTTTTTTTGGTGCTTTTGTAATATTCTGGTGATAGACAAGTGGGATACTGTCATACTCAGATGTCTCAACTCTTCTCCTTGTTGGATGTTTAATACCAATATGATGCATTACACTTTGTGTTAGCCTTCATCACACACACACAGTGGTTTTGAGTTTGTTTTGCAAGGACCGTACTGTTGGCATAGGTGTCTGTTTTTGATTAAAGCAGACAGCAAAGCATGTGTTTTGCAGTGGTTCTGAGGTGAGTAGAAGCATGGATAATACATTAAGAACGTGTACTTTGCAAATATCTATCAAGTGATTCAGATTTTGAGTCTACAACTTTGACATTGACTAATTGCTCAATTATCAAACTGAATTAATAGTGCCTAAGTATTCAAAAATATTTTAAAACTAATATTTTGCTGACAAACATTATTGCATTATTAATAGGAAAAGTTTGCTCTGCAAAAGACGTATTGGTGTTCTTGGTGATACGAGGAGTGACAAGTGTAATTGCCCTCTCCAGGTTCAAGGTTGTTGTTGTGGTTTTTTTTTTAAACTGCTTTATATGTAAAAATATTATCTATAAGTATTGTTTATATACATTGGTACTTTTGTCTGATATGTGTTCGTTTTAATTACAGAAGTTGCTGGGTGTGTTTTGCCACCGATGAAGATGATCGAACAGCGGAGTGGGTGAGACCTTGCAGGTGTAGAGGCTCTACAAAATGGGTTCACCAAACTTGTCTACAGCGTTGGGTGGATGAAAAACAGAGAGGAAACAGTACAGCTCGAGTTGCATGTCCTCAGTGCAATGCAGAATACTTAATAGTATTTCCAAAGCTAGGTAAGAGATGTGCAGTTAAATTCAAATACAGTGTAATTGTATCAATATTTATACTCTATTTATTTTATACAAAACTTCCAGTATCTAACTTCTGTTTGGCATGTAAACTTCTATGTTGTGAAACACATCAGGACTTGCTAATTCATCATTTAAGTTGTTGGTGCTCTTTGGAAAATTGATGCAGAAATTTGCAAGTAATGCATCTATCCTGGTTTAGTTTACTGCATCCTGTAAACTTTAGACAGCTTCTGCCCTGTAGATGAGCTGAGACCAATAGCTCACTATAATCATACCCCAGAATCCTTTGCCAGCCTGTAGAGGAGACTGGTTTTAGTCAGTTGAGGGGCAGAGAAGGGAGCCTGCCTGCAGATGTGTAACAATGTCCCTAATATTACCTGAAAGTATTTTTATATTTAATTTGTATAGGACACCGTGAGTACTGCTCCGTACCCAAGAGACAACAATATTGTAGTAGAAAAGGGGAGGGGATACTGTTCCAAGCTCCATCCACATGGAGTTGCCAAAATTACTCCCGAGAGCATTCTGCACCTAAAAATTCTGTCAAAAAATTAAAAATTTTTCACACAATATTTTAAAATTCTGCACAATTCTGTAAATTTTATTTGTCAAATGAATGTGGAAGCTCCAGCATGGCATTGGGAAGCACAGGCCACTGGCTGCACAGAAGTGAGAGATCACTGTGCTGTTCCCCCGCAGGACATGGACTCAGTGGTGAGGCTGCACCCAACCCTGACACAGCGTAAGGACTGGGCCTGCCCCAGAAACACCCCAGTGCCCTGCTCCTCTGTGCCAGGTGCACCAGGTGTGGGCAGGCAGGCTCAGCAAGGCAGGCTCCAAGTGTGGAGAGGCTTAGTGTGGGGGGTCCAGGGGTGGGTTGAGAGGGGTCTGTGTGGGGCAATCTGGGTGCGGGCGGTTCAGTGGGCAATCTGGGGGGGGGATCTTGATGCATGGGGGCTTGGTTGGGGGGGGGGGGTTGGTGCAACAGTAATGGGACTCTGCAGGGGGGTCAGGTGAAGGTGGTTGGGGCTTAGCAGGGGAGTCCAGATGCTGGGGGTGTGGGGCTCAGCTGGTTGGGGCTCGGTAAGGTTGGAATCCGGGTGCGGGTAGCTCGTTTGGTGGTCCAGGTGCAGGGGGAGTGGGGCTTGGGGGGAGGGGTTCTGGGTGAAGGGGGGCTGAGGCTCAGCGGGAGGGTCTGGATATGAGGGGGTCTGGATGCACAAGGGTTGGGTGGATGGGGGAGCAGCTCCCTGTACAGAGATCACTCCCTCTGCAGCTGAGGAGCCATGGGTGCAGAAAGTGCGAGGGCGGGGTGGGAGTTTGCAGAGCTTCCTACAGCTGGGGGAGAAAACTGGGGGTGGGTGTGACATGGCCCCAGATGCCATGCAGGGGAAGAGGAAGTCCAGTCCTCCCCAGCCCAGCTGGGACTAGCAGCTGAGCCCAGTGCAGTGTAGGAGCCACCAACCGGGTCTTCTTCTGCCCCACAGTGATTTACCTCTCTGCCAGCTGCCCTGGGCACCTGAAACGTACTGCTGGGGAAAGTCACATGACTGCGCTTGTGGCTTCCCTTTGCTTCCCCATCAGAAAGTCATTTTTCTGCAGGGAAGCAAAGAAATCTGTGGGGGGACATAAATTCTGTGCGTTTGCAGTGGCGCAGAATTCCCCCAAGAGTACAAAATGCTGCTCACAATAGATTGTTACCTTCTGTGGGGCTACAACTTGTACCTGGTCTCTGTTAGGCTCCTTCTTGATTGGGGGTGAGGGGAAATACAAGTGTGGTATGTCTAAACTCCACTAACTTGTGGCACAAAATGGAGATGTCACTAAATTGTGCAGTTCTTTGATCCTCTTCCTCCTTCCTTACATGAAAGATGAAACAGTTAACAATATTGGCATTTAAATTGTCACTGGGTATCTAAGTTAACACTGCACTAAGATAAATGGGGTAGTTTGCACCTCTGTGCTTTTTGTTCCAGACTCTCACTAGACTCATGTCTGCATCAGTTCCTCGGTTTGCATTTTTGAGATTTTCTTTGCAACCATGACAGCTAGAGACTTAATTTCTGTTTAAAAATCAGTATTGCTAACACTTGTGACTTAATCATGAATACCAGTATTTTGGTACTTGCAAGGGGATTTGTTGCGAAGACATGAGAGGCAAATCCGTTCCCCACGATTCTCGGGTCTGGATGCATGGGCAGAGCTCTGTACCGGAGCCTGTGTGAGTCTACACTGCCAAGAAAATCCCACAGCACAAAGTGTCAGAGCCTGGGTCAACTCACTTGGGCTCGTGAGTCTCTGGCTGTGGGGCTAAAAATATCCGTGTAAATGTTTGTGCTTGTGCTGGAGCTTGGGTTCTGAAACCTGGTGAACAACTACATTGCTACTTTTAGCTCTGCAAGCCTGAATCAGTTGACCTGGGTTCTGAGACCCTGCGCTGAAGCTCTTTTATTTGCAGTGTAGATATACCCTGTGTAGCTGAGAACTTGGATTTGACCTTGCCGCTTAGGGCTAACCCCTTCATGCAGGGATTAGCCCTATCTCAGTAGTAGCGGATAGAGAAGGTCCTGGGGCAGTGGGAGTCCAGGGAAGGGAGGGGTGGAGTCAGAGAGAAGTTGCTGCTGGGTCCAGGACACCAGAATCAACAGCAACGCTTCCCTGCCTCCCACTGGAGTTCTTCTCTGCCCAGAACCCAACAGCTGCTCATTCCGGAGGAGTTGGGGAAGTCCTGCAGGTGCAGTTCTGGGCAGAGGAGAAGCCTCAGGGTAATTTAAGGGAAGGCTAATTAAAAGTACACATTATTTTTGGCTATTTGGATACTTGAGATTTTTTTAAAAAACTAAATTGAATTGCAGTAGGATGACATATACGTAGCTGATCAAAATTATGCAAAAAAGTAGAATGACCTATTTTTGAAGCGCTTTGAATATGAGAATTGATTTATAATCCTTTTTTAAAAAAAAAAACATAACTGCATGTCTCAGCTGGATTACAGCAATACCTGGGAATGAAGACTTCAGCACTTTGGAAACTCCAGCTAGTACAGAACACTGCAGCGCATCTTCTCAGCAACACAGGCTACTGTGAGCACATCAAACCTGACCTCCATTGGCTTCTCATAGGGTTTCGAATCAAGTTAAAGGTCTCAGGCCTTACTGTCAAAGCACTCCATAGCATTGGCTCAGGATATCTAAGAGACAGCTTCAAGCTTCATGATGAAGACAGTGGTGGATAACTGCGCTCCTGTGGCACAATGGAACTCTCCTCAATAAGATTAAAGCTTGTCTAATAGGGAAACAGAACTTTATCCAGGAATAGTTTGAGACTATGAAATGAACTCCCCCAAGAGCTGAAGACCATCACTACTCTCGCTATTTTCCACTCCAAGTGCAAGACACACTTCTTTAACATTGTCTTCTTTAACAAACACTTAGAAACCGGTATAGTTTGTTTAAAAAAACTCAAAAACCAAACCCTATTAAGACACCTAACTGCACATGCTTGTCCCCCGGGAGAGGATGAGAAAACAAATACCACATGACAGATGTGTAGCCATGTTGCTCAATGCACTACTGGAAGGCACTCAGATATAATGGCCATGTGTGGTGTAAGAACCTATATAGAGTATAATAGGGTTACAGAAAGCTCTGCTTGGGTTAGAGTTTTTGCAATTACCTAAGGTGGTTGATATTGTAAAGACATTCTTCCATGTAAAGATCTTTGAGGCACACGCAAAGATTTATTGAAAAATAATTGGAAAACTTGATGCATAGAGTACTTTGTGCTTCTTGGATGTTCATTGTTCATTTTCCAGTTCCATTTTGTAGTCCTCCTGCAGGAGGAGAATATGGAGGAAAGGTGGAAAACTGGGAGAGGAGAGAGTCAAGACAGTAGGAAATGGATGGTAGTGCCCCGTCTGAAGGAGGAGAGAGGAAGTGGAGCATCCAGGGAGAAGTGCACATTTGTGTGCATTAAAGGTTGACTTTTCAACCTGAAATTAATCACATGTACACGCTGGCAGAGGCATCCAAGGGAATTAGTCAAGACACGATAAAAAAAATCAACTCAAATTTAAAAAAAAAAATCTCATTACTTTCAGGGAACTAACTCTTGATATTTGGTCTCTTGAGATTGGCAATACTGATAAATGAACGCTAAGATTCAAAATAGTAGCTTCAGAGAAATGTTGGTATGATATATGGGCATGTAATGACTCTTTCAGAACCTTGACTGTGGTCACTAAAGTAATGTAGAATCATTTGGACACTTTGTTACATGCCTGAGTTCTGCATGCAGCAGGTAAGAAGTAGTTTTATTACAGGCATATTGCAGATTTTAAGATTCCCTGAATTCTCCTAGTAGCCAGACATAGAGCATCATCCTGATGCCGCACATCTAGTTTTAAGCTTTTTCCTTAACTTTTATATCTGTATGTTGAATGTTTGTCTTTAGCTGGCTTTTGGGAGATGCATTATTTTTGTTATTTATTTAGCATCAGAGGTAATAAATAGTGCGTTACTAAAGAAAATATAGTTCCTGCCCCAAGAAGCTTAAAACAAGTGTGAGTATGACAAAGAAAGATGCAGGGAAAGATGTTAAGAAGGGAAGGAGGGAGGAATACACAAAGTAAAATTGTATAGTTACTTGTTTGGCACATTATGCTAACCATCTACATTAAATTTTACAAGGGCAGCTATTCTGCACAGAGGTGAGGATCATAGTTCACTGCTATATTGAAGGCAAATTTATAAAGACTTGCAGCTCCATTTTTAAAGTGCCACTTGTCACCTTGGTCCAGTACAAAAATTGGGAGTGTCTTATATTGTGAGCTCTTTAGAGCAGGGTTCTGCCTTATCTGTTTATACAACGCCCAGTACAATAGGGTCCCAGTTATATTTGGGCAATTGTATGTTGCCATAATAGATGTCTTTAATAAGGAAGATAGATCTGGTATGTGCAGAGTTGTCTGTTAAAGGTTGTAC